ACGATCCGAAAATCGGCCGATTTTCGACCCATCTATGGCCTGCATAACTATGTAACTATGTAACTAGGCACCTGTGGCACCCCAGGCCACAATTTATGTGACCTAGTGATAAATTGGGCCATGATGAAGGATAAACATTTTTCACAGTCTCAGGTCTCCTGCAGATAACATGCCATCCTTTACAATTTGTCCATTTTTGTTTCATATTTCTTTGTATTTTTTATTTACTTTTGCTAGTTTAAATGAATTAAATTGTGTTTTTTTATTTTTTAATCATCAAAGAATTTTGCTTTACTAATGTAATTTAAAAAGTGCTGTAACCCTTAAAAATCATAATTCATCAGAAAACTGTAATCTGAGTGGGTTCCACAAGTTTCTGCATTTGTATAAATTCTTTGCACTGCCTTATTAAAGGGTACATGAAGCCCAATTTTTTTTTACATTTTAGATGTAGGGCATAGTTTGATCAGACCTTGCACAAAAAAGCAAAGTCCATTAATATTTTCACATTCCCTATTCCCTATCAAAGTCATAGAAGTAGAATGAAAAAAAAAAGTTGCAAATATACATAGACAAGAGTGAATCATCATCCTTCCACTGAGACCTCAAGAACAGCTGTGTACCTGAAATCTCACTATCCTACTGTCACAAGTTAGCCTGCAGTTTCTTGTTTGTGTTCTTACCTTCTTGCCCTTCTTGCTGCAATCCTGTTCCTGATCCCTTCTCATGTGTTTGTCTGTGCTCATCTATGGGCGTCGTCTGCTGTCCTCTGGGTTTTGTTTCCTTCCCTTCCATCACTTCCTGGCCCACCTCCCTTTTTGCCTGTTTATATAAGACTTGCTCAGACTAGGCCACTTTGCCTGAGCAACTTCCTAGTTGGCGGAGCTCCCGTGTGTTACTACTGTCTGAATCCTATATTGCCTACTTGTGTACCAACCCCGGCTTCGTTCTCTGACCTTGCTTGTTTTACACCTGTCCTGACCTCGGCTAGCCTATCAGATTTCATTTGCCTCCTCCCATTATACTCTGCTCCCGCGAGCGGTCTCCTCAACCTCAGCTGGGCGTACCTGGGGGCTGCAACCTGGTCCCAGCTTGCTGCAAGTCCATCCCCACCATCAGGGGCTCTGGTGAAGAAGCAGGCTGGGGCTTGGACTCCGCGCCCTGGGGAACCCCAAGTTGAGTATCAACAAGAGCTCACTACCACAGGTGCTGACACCTACACAGTGCTGGGATGCCTTCTGGAAATATTTGGGGCACTTAGTATTTCCTGAGATTTTACCAGTAGGATGGTGATGTCACTTCCTGCAATATGAAAGCCTGAGTAAGTATATTTAATAACATTGTTTTCCCCAAAGGATTTTCTTAATTTCATTACAGCATTTTGGGCATAGGGCTTTGGTTAATAAAAATACCTTGCATGATAGTTTTAACAGAGGTTTTTTTATTCTGTCTTTATACCGTTGGGGAGATTTACCTTTCTCTCCCAGAGAGAGTTCAGGAAGTAAGAGGAGATCCGTCCAAAGCAAAGGGATATCTTTTAGATATCCCTCTTCAGCCAACCGTACATGGATTGAACTTCTATCCATGTATTGGCAGGGAGGATGTACAGAAATCGATTTACCAATCAGTGTATTCTGATGGCAGGGTAGTCTCCCTGCTGTCAGAATATAATAGCTCAGCTGGGAGGATTCCTCCATCCACACCAAGTAATTTTTTTTCATTCATCCCAGTGGTTGAAGGGAAAAAAATACTCATCTATGGGCAAAATGTCCCCTCTACTGACAGTAATTAGAATTTCCCACTAATTTCTGGTCAGCAGAACCAATAATGAGGGTATATCTCTCAAGCAGCAAGAAAAACTAGAGATTCAAACTCTTCCACATCCTATTTAAAACGTGAAAAAAACATTTTGGCTTTACGTATATATATAAATAATTAATAACACACAACAATAACTTAAGTATGTCAATAGTATATACAGTCTAAATAAAATAGTAAAACATTTGCTGGTAAATTAGTTTTCGAAAATTCCACCAATTACAGTAAACAGTTTGACAACAATAGCTTAAAGCTACTGATTTCACATCACCGTCTGCCTCTTCAGTTTTGTCCATCATCTCGACTTTATGCAAGAAAATGTATTTTTGTCACTGTAAAAGAATGGAAATATGTCATTTCCATTAGGGACTTAATAAGTTCCAGGTGTTGACTACAATGCACAAAGCACCAACATAATGTGATTTTTTTTTACGTGGTTTTAAGGGAATGCTAACTCCTAAATGCTTTGCATTCAGTCAGGCCCAGGAAAAATATACCCACTATTTTTAAGGCTTAGTGATATATTAATCTAGAATATTTTAAGTGTTTTTTTCTAAAGAGTTCTCTTGCACTTTTTGTAAGCTGATGCGTTAAAGAGTAGCTAGATGTTCTTTGATAGCAGATTCCTTATAAGAACCGAAAAAATCTAAGTATTGACTGTAAAAATGTTTCTCTCCCTTACTGCCATGTGGCATCTGCTTTAGAGTGGCCATCAGCATCCACTGCAATCCATTCCCCGAGGTGACAGCTGAGAAACAGTAGTATACCAAAATACAAATGTTCAGCAACATGTTAGATTAAATGGTCACTTGCCTGTATTTTTCTAGATGGTAAAAGAAGTGCAGTTTAGAAAAAAAAGCTGTTTTTTTAATACTAGACAATATGATTGCAGATTTTTATATTGGTTAGGATATAATGGTTAAAATACTTAAATCTGTGCTCTACGTATATGAGAAGTGTTTAGCTGCCAAAGGATATGTATTTCTTTAGATCCAGTCCTGAGATGTATGCAGCTCTTATATGCTGCACAGCCCAGGGCAAAAGAATTGCAGCTCAGTAACACCTTCAGGTCTTGTCCCTGCCCCCTAAGCCTTGAATGAACAGGAAAGAAATAATGCAGACTGATTAGCTCATCTCTCTGTCACTCTGATGTCTCCATCTATCAGCATACCTATTGCATTGCAACACAACTGATTGACTGATTGTGCTGCTTTTTCCTCCTCCAGTCTACAGGGGCTGCAAAAGGCTGATGCCAGATCTGATTTAGGTACATTATAGAAAAAAAAAACTTTTAATGATCTGTTAATTAACCACTTGAGCTCTTTGGATGTACTACATCCAAGGATTGAAAGGTTAATCACAAGCTGATGGCTGCAATAGCAGGTATCAGCCTTTGCTCCATTTGTTTAGCTGGTTCACGACTTCAAAGTGAAAATGATGCTGCGGCTGCACGGTGTCCTCCCTTCCCTGTCGACACTCGCAGAAAGCTTGTTTGCAATCTATCTACTCAACACAACCTCATGTTTTATATTTTACCAAAAAATTGTGAGTGTTTGCACTAAAATTCATTTTATTGTATTTTTTCCTGAAAATTAGCATTTGATAAACAGTTGCACAAATATCATGCAACAAAAAATTTAAACTATCAACTTTTTATTTTGCGCTTTCTGTGATTCTGTGAAAAAATATAATGTTCTGGGGGCTTAAGTAATTTTATAGATATAAATGAAGATTTTTACATGTGTGCTAAAAATGAACTAGTTAATACTAAGCTCCATTTGTGTGTTTTATATCTGTCTGGAGTTTAGCTTTAAAATATGTAATTGATGCCATGGTTTTTGTAACTGAGGCCTGGTTCACACCTAGGAAGTTTGCTTTTGATCTGTTTCTGCAGTACTTTTTGCGGTGCGTTTTTCTACACGTGTTTTTGATGCGTTTTGCATTTTTTTGGGGGCCAATTTGTTGTTGGCCAGATTAAAAAATGCAAAAGAAAAAAAATGCATCAAAAACACATCAAAAACTCACTACATTCTTTTCTGCAGTGTCTCCATTGAAGTCTATTGAAACAAACATGCACCGTTTTGCGTTTAAAAAAATCCCTGACTTTTTCCAAAAACACAACAGCTGAAATAAAGCATAGATGTGAATGTGTCCTATAGGAAAACAAGTGAAATGGACTGTAGTGCGTTTCTGCAAAAAGCACCAAAAAACGCATAGATGTGAACCAGGCCTACATGTTAGGAGAGACATTAGCAGGTTGAATGTGCAGAACTTCCATTTCAAAAAAAGAAAAAGCAATTTGCTTGTAAATAATTACTTTCCTTCGTTTTCTTAGTCTTCCTTTGGGCAGGATATGATACACTGGCTCTATGCTAGAGTGGAACACTACAAAAAAATGACAGGCACGCATTTTCCTGCAGAAGTTGTAATGTCTCTACTGCAATAAAAGATTCAAACTTTCTCATGATATACACTGAGGAGTGCTTGCTCACTTCAATATACAACTCCAGGTGACAGAATGTATGAACTGCAATGCAGGCACAGGAGTTACATCATTCCAGCATGACCAAGGAAGAGTGACTTATATTGTCTTCTTCACTTTCCTCTACAACCACCAATGTCACACCAATGTCACACTGATCATAGCCCCAACACTGGATGCAGGTTAAAGTGATATTAAAAGGTAATTAAAAAAAACAAATATGTCATACTTACCTGCTGTGTGCAGTGGTTTTGCATAGAGCAACCCTCACCCTCCTCTTCTTGGGTCTACCACCGGCTCTCCTGGATTGTCTCTCCTGCCTAGTGCTCCCAAAGCAAGCAGCTTGCTATGGGATCAACCAAGCAGGCTCGCTCTCAAGCCACTACTCTGCGTGTCCATTCACATACATCCAGCGCAGCTTGGCCCCATGAACTTACTGGCTTGGCTCCCTCTGCTGTATCAGCCAATGAGGAGGGAGACTCCCCATAGGGCCAAAGCTGGATCACGATAGGGCTCAGGTAAGTATTGAAGGGCTGGGGGGAGCTGCTGCACACAACCTTTTCAACCACTTTAACCGTCTCCCACCCGCCATATAAGGTAATGATAGGCGCAAGGCAGTTCTCTCATTCTGGGAGGATGTCATATGACATCCTCCCACTCTAACCGCACGTGCACAGCTTCAGGAGCACGCGGCACGGCAATCGGTGGTGCGCTGATTCCCTCGGACACAGTGGATCACCAATCAACGGAAAGAGCTGAAGACGTGAAGCTGTGTCCAATCACAGCTGATCGCATGTAAATAGGGAAATGACGGTTATCGGCATTTCTCTCCTCATGAGCTGTCACGCTGACAGCTCGAGAGGAGAGGAGAGCCGGTAATCTGCATCCCTCAGAGGGGACATGTACACTGATCATCAGGGCACTGATGATCAGTGTGCCCTGATGATCAGTGTAGCCACAGCAGTGCCACCTGTCAGTGCTCATCAGTGCCAGCTGTCAGTGCTCATCAATGCCACCTGCCAGTGCCCATCAGTGCCTCATCAATGCCACATATCAGTGCCTACCAGTGCACATCAATGCCACATATCAGTGCCCATCTGAGCTTCCTTTCAGTGTCACCTATCAGTGCCAGTCAGTACCACCTATCAATGCCAGTCAGTGCCACCTATCAGTGCTGCCAATCAGTGGCACCTATTAGTGCCAGTCAGTGCTGCCTATCCATGTGCATCAGTGCCGCCTATCAGTGCCCGTCAGTGCTGCCTATCAGTGCCACTTAACAGTGCCAGGCAGTGTCACCTAACAGTGCCAGTCATTGCCGTCTATCAGTGCCAGTCAGTGCCACCTATCAGTGCCACCTATCAGTGCCATATATGAGTGCTGCTCTTCAGTGCCCATCAGTGATGCCTGTTAATGCCCATCAGTGCCACCTACTAGTGCCTCCTCATCAGTGCCCAACAGTGCCACCTATCAGTGCCCATCAGTGCAGCCTATCAGCGCCCATCACTGCAGCCTCATTAGCGCACATCAGTGAAGGAGAAAAATCACTTATTTACAAAATTTTATAACAAAAACTAAGAAAAAATTAAAAGAACAGGTGATTAAATACCACCAAAAGAAAGCTCTATTTGTCTCAAAAAAATGATAAAAATTTCATATGGGTACAGTGTTGCATGACCATGCAATTGTCATTCAAAGTGCGATAGCACTGAAAGCTGACAACTGGCCTGGGCAGGAAGGGGGTATAAGTGCCCTGTAGGTAAGTGGTTAAGGGCCAGTTCACAATACATGCATTTCAGTATGCTTTTTTTTCTGCATCCAAAAAGCACAGAAAGTAGGTTATATGGTTGTCAATGTCATAGTTCACTTTAGTGCTTGTATTAGTTCCAGTGCATTCCGGTTGCAGAAAGAAAAATTAGAACAGGCTGCATTTTTCCTGCGCAGAACTGTACTGGAACGCGGTAAAATGCATCAAAAATGTACCGGAACGGTGGGAGTATAATTCACTGTTATTACCGTTGGTGGGAACAGAACTTTTCCCACTGGGGAAAGACAATATTTCAGGAAAATGGATAAAAGATAGATATGTACGATAGAAAAGATACCACAGACAAAGGGGAATAATATTCTTTTCAAGATTTAAAAAATAAAAATGAATTATTTTTTATATTAGATGAATGGAGCTATTATCAATTAAGACACTTTGTTGCAGCTCTCCCGCAGCCATTAAGGGCAGTGGAAGACATGTATCCATTTGAACAAATGTTTAGTTCGGATACAATACGAAAACATGTTACTTCTTGCATTTATAAGACCCTTACTACAATATCTGGATCTGTTTCTCCACCGTTCTTGGAGAAGTGGGAAAAGGAGCTTGGAACAAAATTAAATAAGCAGCAAACAAAGAAAATAATTAAATTAACACATGGTGCTGTGGACATGAACATAGTAGAAATTAATTATAAATGTTTAGTAAGATGGTATTGTACACCTAGTGTGGCACATAAACAACGATCAGAGAGTTCACCTTTATGTTGGAGGGGGTGTGTATGGTGGGATTGCCCCAAAAAAAACAGTCGTTTTAGCAAGTAATAATTCAACAAATACAGGAGATACTGGAAATTAGTATATTGAAAGACCCTTGGGTTTGATTCCTAGATTTTGGCAGGCACACGATACCCCAAAAATAAAAGATTGTATATACAGTGAAGGAAATAAGTATTTGATCCCCTGCTGATTTTGAATGTTTGCCCACTCACAAAGAAATGATCAGTCTAAAAGTTGAATGGTAGGTGTGTTGTAACACTAAGAGACAGAATAGCAACAAAAAATTCAAAAGAAATGCATGTTTAACAAATTATGCACTGATGTGCATGTTCATGAGGGAAATAAGTATTTGATTCCCTATCATTCAGCAGGATTTCTAGCTACCAGGTGTCTTTCATACAGGTAACAAGCTGAGATTAGAAGCATTCTCTTAAATGGAGTGCTGCTAATCTAATTTTGTTACCTGTATAAAAGACACCTGTCCACAGGAGCAATCAAACAGTCAGATTCCAAACTCTCCACCATGGCAAAGACCTGTCCAAGGATGTCAGGGAGACTGTAGACCTACACAAGGCAGGACTGGACTACCAGACTATCGCCAAGCAGCTTTGTGAGAAAGTGACAACAGTTGGCGCAATCATTTGCAAATGGAAGAAACACAAAACAACTGTCCGTCTCCCTAGGTCTGGTGCACAATGCAAGATCTCACCTCATGGAGTGTCAATGATCATGAGAACAGTGAAGAACAGAGGCGGAATGACCATTTGGAAACTCGGGCACTGCAGGGGCCCCGGGGTCAGTAGGGGGCCCCATGAGATGCCCCTGGTACCTTTTTCATAGGCTTTTTTGAGGTTGGGCAAGGACACAGGGGCCCCATGATCCCCTATTGCCCGGGGGCCCCATGAGTTGTCAGCCCGCCCCGGTGATGAATCATCCCAGAACTACACGTGAGGATCTTGTCAATGATCTCCAGGCAGCTGGGACCACAGTCCTCAAGAAAACAATTGGTAACACACTACACCGACAAGGATTGAAATCCTGCAGTGCCCACAAGGTCCCTCTGCTCAAGAAAGCATATGTCCAGGCCCGTCTGAAGTTTGCCACTGAACATCTGAATGATGCAGAGGAGGACTGGTTGAAAGTGTTGTGGTCAGATGAGGAATGCTGCCTATGACCCCAAGAACACCATCCCAACTGTCAAACATGGTGGTGGAAACATTCTGCTTTGGGGGTGTTTTTCTGCTAAGGGGACAGGACAACTGCACCGCATCAAAGGGACGATGGACGGGGCAATGTACCATCAAATCTTGGGAGAGAACCTTCTTCCCTCAGCCAGGGCATTGAAAATGGGTCGTGGATGGGTGTTCCAGCATAACAATGACCCAAAACACACGGCCAAGGCAACAAAGGAGTAGCTCAAGAAGAAGCACATTAAGGTCCTGGAGTAGCCTAGCCACTCTCCAGACCTTAATCCGATTAAAAATCTGCGAAGGGAGCTGAAAGTTCGAGTTGCCAAACGTCAGCCACCAAACCTTAATGACTGCCAAGAGGAGTGGGCCAAAATCCCTCCTGAGATGAGTGCAAACCTGGTGGCCAACTACAGGAAACGTCTGACCTCTGTGATTGCCAACAAGGGACTTGTCATCAAGTACTAAGTCATGTTTTGTGAAGGGGATCAAATACTTATTTCCTTCATGAACATGCATAATTTGTTAGCCATGCATCTCTGAATTTTTTTGTTGCTATTCTGTCTCTCAGTGCTACAATACACCTACCATTCGTTTTTTAGACTAATCATTTCTTTGTGAGTGGGCAAATATTCAAAATCAGCAGGGGATCAAATACTTATTTCCTTCACTATACAGAGTGGAGTATATATACAGGATGGAGGAATTATGCCATATTGGAGAGGATAAAGTAAAAAAAAAACACACAAGGGAAAGATGGCGTGATTTTAAAACATCAAAGAGATATCTAGAATTGGTCAGAGTCTAAAGTATAGGGAGAGATAAATTAAAGGAATGATGGTCTTTGTAGGAAGGAAAGGGATAGGAAGAAAGAAGGAGAAGAGAGGGATGAAGATAGATAGAAGGAGTAATAGAGGAACAAGAAGAAAAGGAAAATAGTAGGAGAAATGGGGATAAACTGGCAGAGGGGGAAGGGTATAGGTAAAATTTGTTTGAAAAATTTTGTGTTTGTAATGCTTGAAATAATGTTGGATTTGTAATAGAAAATTAATAAAAAACATAATTAAAGAAAAACGCACTGGAACGCACCTGCCCCTATTTAAATTGAAGAAAAAGAGAGGGGGAAAAAATTAACCAGAATGCATCAAAAACACACATCAAAATTGCATCAAAAATGCGCCGGAACACTCCAACAATGCATCAAAAATGCCCATGGAGAAATGCATCCGGACTGCATCTGGACTGCATTTCTATGGTGTGAACTGGCCCTAACTCCCGAAGCTCATCCTTCATTATTGAAATCTTAAACTTTAAAAGGGGTCCCTGCATCAAATGCCCACCCCCTGTAAAAATATTATGAATGAAACAGGATCTATGAATGGAGGAGGCAGAGCTATGAATTATCTGGCCTTCCTTCATTCATAGATCTTCTGTCATTAATAGAAGCTATAATATGACTTCTATGAATGGCAGATCTGGCAGTAAAGGGTGGGCATAGTCAATCTTTATGAAAGCACCTGACAACCCTTTAGTTGTATTAACCCCTGACAACCCCCCCCCCACACACACACACACACACCCACACATACACACCTTATTTTTTATAAATGTAAGGTACGATAATATTCAGTAAGCCAAAAGCATTCAAAATAAAGCAGATAAATAATTACAGGAAAATTGTGTTGTAAGGTAAGTTAAGCATCAAAGCAATTTCAAATAATGTATACATATATTACATTTAACCGCATATTTACATTATAGCAATCTCTTACATTCAATCACTTACATACAGGTGCATCTCAATAAATTAGAATATCATCAAAATGTTAATTTATTTCAGTAATTCAATTCAAAATGTGAAACTCATATATTATATAGATTCTTTACACACAGAGTGATATATTTCATGCATTTCTTTCTTTGAATTTTAATGATTATGGCTTACAGGTAGTGAAAATCCAAAATTCAGTATCTCAGAAAATTAGATTACATAAGATCAATTAAAATAAAGGATTTTTAATAGAGAAACGATGACTTACTGAAAAGTGTGTCCACGTACAATATAGTATGCACTCAATACTTGAGCGGGGCTCCTTTTGCATGCATTACGGCATCGATGTGGCGTGGCATGGAGAAGCTCAGCCTGTGGCACTGCTGGGGTGTTATGGAAACTCAGGGTGCTTTGATAGTGGCCTTCAGCTCTTTTGCATTGTTGGGTCTGGTGTTTTTCATCTTCCTCTTGATAGCACCCCACAGATTCTGGGGTTTAGTTCAGGTGAATTTCCTGGGCAATCAAGCGCAGTGATACCATGATCATTAAACCAGATATTGGTACATTTGGCAGTGTGGGAAGGTGCCAAGTCCTGCTCGAAAATGAAATCAGCATTCCCATAAAAAAAAAGGGGGGGAGATTGTGAGTGTACTCGGGTG